TTCTTTTGATATTTTGTTTGCTTTTCTCACTCTCTGAGTCTCGGAACATTAACAAATCAGGTTAGCCAAATCGCGCACGGCAAGGTTCCGCGCTTAAGGCAGAGCCGGTTTGGAATTCTGCTGTTTTATTTTGCATTTTTTTAAGCAGCGATTTTGATTTGAGGCATTTGTATGGAATGGAACGCTCAAACATTGTGAAGGTTTTTCTCATGTCAGTCTCCTGGTACCAGGGTGGGGTAAGTGTCACGTCCATGAGATGACCCGGGGAGTGCTTAACTATATAGAACAGAGCTAGGGCTTCCCATGCTGTAGTGCTTATGTCCCTACCTGTGGGCCAAGAGGTCCAATTCAATCCCGCAGCTACTGCTACAGTGTGTCACAACATTTCCGCACAGGTTAATAAGGAAATCTCTGTAGCAGCACCTGACCCATTGCCTCCCAGCTTCCTCCCAAGTGTAGCCTATGTTACTGTTGTCAATCACAGGGGAAATGGAAAATTAATCCAGAGGATCGAGGTGGAGATTGGGCGGAGGACAGCATAGCAGAGGGGATATGGGGTAACATCATTTAGATAGAACCTAGAAGGTAAAACTAGTAAGACATGCAAATGACATTTTTGGTCTGGTATTATCTCAAAATATACGTCTAGTGGAACCAGTTCCAAGCATACCTTTATTTTTCATCACTTGGGAATGATTTTCTTTTGTTCTGAAATCTTCCTGTTCATTTGCATTGTAAAACTATCTTAGATAGTGATCTTACAGGTCCTGAGACTGACGGCCCATTCGGAGATTCTCTTTTCCACCTACCAGCGCCCCAGGCTGGACACTTTTTTTGCTTGGGGGTGAGGTTGGTGACAGCCAGAACTCCCACCCCCTGGCAACCCACAGCTCATCGCAAACGTGCCCTGGCTCCTGTTTACTGCTTTCAACATTCCCTCGTCTGTCTGTTCGAGCCCCTCCTCATCTCCATCTCCAGCCCCTACACCCTCCGAGAACGCTTGTCATTCCTATGATCCCAGCCTCTTTCTTGGGCATCCCCGCAACATTCCCCCACCGATTTTAACCATTCTGTCACTGGCTGCCGTGCCTCGAGCGTTCCCAAAACTCTGGACGTTCCTGCCTGAGCCAATCCATTCGGAAACTCCTCAGAATCTCTCTCTCTCTCTTTTCTCCGCTCTCCCCTCCGAACCTTTTGGTCACCCGAACTGATCTTTTGTCCGGACGGTCGCTCCTGTGAGGTTTCCTTTGAGGGAGGTGCATTCTTGGCTTTGAAAGCGCCAATATGAAGGCAGGTTGTTGTTGGGGGCCAGGAGCCGGTATTAGCAGGACAATAGCGGGTTGACACATTGAGACAGGCGGACTCGAAGTGCCACGAGCTTCCAGCCTGTTTTAATTCATCAGGTCCCTGACATTTCACTTCTGAGACACCTTCAGACCAATGAAAGCTTGCCTAGCCCTTCTGTTTAACCGCTCAGATACTGAGAGGACCCTGCAGTGAGTCCTTTGAACAGCTCAGAGGCCAGGAGTATCGCACGTTGAACTGCGGAATCCCCTCGTGTCTGTAGTGTCACAGTGAAGTATTTGTGTCCTTATCACAGCGGAAGAGTCTGACAGGGAGCTGTTCAACAACTTGTACACTGGCACAGTCTCAGTGTGAACTGTTTAATTCTTCGTACCCTAAGCGAGTCATGCACTGTGCTGTCTAACCCTTCGTGTGCCAAAGAAATCATGCAGTGGCCTATTTAACACCAAGTGTACTTGGGAATCATGCAATGACTTGTTTAACTCCAGTGTCCGAGGGGAACAGTGCAGTGACCTGTTTAACCCCCTCATGTACAGGGGAACAGTGCAGTGAGTGTTTAACCCTGGTGTACCAGAGGAATTGTGCAGAGACCTGTTTATCCCCTTGTGCTGGGAATCGCACAGTGAGTATTTAACCCATTGTATCCAGAGATAGTCTCATAGCGAACAGTTTGTAATTTTGTGTACAGAAAGAGTATGACACTGAGCTGTTTAATGCCTCATGTAATCGGAATGTCTTATCGTGAACTATTTAACTTCTCGTGTACCTTGGAACATCTCACAGTGAGCAGTTAAACCATTCGTGCACCAAGATTGTCTCACAAGCTGTTTAACACCTAGAGCACTGAGACAGTCTGACAGTGAGCTATGTAACCCCTAATGCACTGAGACAGTCTGACAGTGAGCAGTTTAACCCCTGGTGCAGTGAGACAGTCTGACAGTGAGCTATGTAACCCCTAGTGCAGTGAGACAGTCTAACAGTGAGCTGTTGAACCCCGAGTGCACTGAGACAGACTGACAGTGAGCTGTTTAACCTCCAGTGCACTGAGACTGTCTGACAGTGAGCTGTTTAACCTCGAGTGCACTGAGAGAGTCTGACAGTGAGCTGTTTAACCCTTAGAGCACTGAGACAGTCTGACAGTGAGTTATGTAACCCCGAGTGCACTGACACAATCTGACAGTGAGCTGTTTAACCCCTAGAGCAC